AGCTGTTACAAAATAAAAATGCATTGATTTCATAAAGTCAGTGAAAATGGTATTAAAAAAGTTGGAAAGAAAATATACAAGGGTATGAGTGTACTAGAAGCATTTCCAAAAAGAGTAATGAGAGGATTCTGAGAGACTGGGGAATAAAGTGTTGTATCATGTTAATCAGGCATTATTTGGAAAAAGTATATCAAAAAACACAAGTGATGGTCTTAACTTTTGGGGGAACAATTAGTGATGTTTTTTCTGACGTGTTGATTTGAGGATTACAAAGAAATTTTAGTGAGTTGGTGAATTTGCACAGTCTGTGAACAAGGATAAGTGGAATCCTATAATAACGGCCTTTTCTTTTTGGTTTTTATTTAGCGTAATGTTTTCAGGATTCATCTGTGTTGTAGCATTTATCAGTACTTAATTCCATTTTATAGCTGAATAATATTCCCTTGTATAGATATTTTTTAAACCATTTTGTTATCCATTTGTTAGCTGATGGACATTTGTGTTGTTTCTACTTTTTTGAATGTTAGGAATAATACAGTTATGAATATTTATGTGCAAACTTCTGTGTGAATACTGGTTTTCATTTCTCTTGGGTATGTATCTAGGCGTGGATTTTTTGAATCATGGTAACTCCATATTTAACGTTTGAGGCACTGCCAGGCCCTTTTCCATGATAGCTGTACCATTTTACATTCCTTTCAGTGGCATATAAGGTTTTCAGTTTCTCTGCATCCTCACTATTTCATTAGCATAATATCCTCGGGGTTCATTCATGTCATCATAAATGGCAAGATATCTTTTTTTCTCATGACTGAATAATATCACATCATATACTTGTACAGTACATCTTCTCCATTCATCTGTTGATGGACACTTAGGTTGTTTGCATATCTTGGCTAGTGTGAGTGATGCTGCCATGAATATGGGAGTGCAGCTCTCTTGGAGATCCAGTTTTCATTCTCTTTGGATATATGCTCAGAAGTGGTATGGCTGGCAAGTGTTTATTAAAAAATAGAGAACCTACTGTATGAATTAGGTATAAAGACCTTCCACCTTTAAATTTTATTTTCTTTCAAGTCAGCCTTAGCAGTGTAAGAGTATATGAGAATGAAGTTAAAGGACATGGCACACAGTAAAAGAATTGCCAGCCACCATTGTTAGCCTATGAACCTCTTAGTGGCTGTTCCTAGGTATCTCCAGTATTTGAAAAGGAGACTCTTGATAATGTGCTTTTAACACCTAGTTTCTACCTAAATACTTGTTATATAAATGAGCATACCAGATTTCCACGAATAACCATCAAAGAACTCGTGCTGTCTTTGTCTCTACAAATTAAAAACAACTCCACACATATTTACATACTTTTATAAAGGGATATTGGATGCATTGCTTGTGCATGAACTTATCAGTGATTCAGTGTTTATCAAATAATTTCTGAAGATTGATTTTGAGCCTTTGAAGAAGAATGATTAATTGACCAAGGGTGAGCTGTTCTAAGCATTGATGAGAATTCAAAATGTTGCAGAGGCACAGGTATTAATCTGATCCTGGAAATACAACCCCACAAACATGTTTGTGGTTATATATAAGGCCCAAACAGCATTCTTACAGGGATGAGAGAATGAAGGTATAGAGGTAGTGATTTTTAAAAAGCAAGCTGTGTAGTACTTTGAAGTTATTTAGCACTTCGTGGTGATTTCTGCAAATTATGAGTAGAATTTCACTTGTCCATTGAACAAGTATTTGAGTGTTGCCTGTGTGTCAGACATTTTCTTGGTGCTAGAGATACAGCAGAGTAAGACAGTCTTAGCCCTTAAGAATTACAGCTTTGAGGGACACCTGGGTGGCTCAGTTGGTTGAGCCTTTGGCTCAGGTCATGATCCCAGAGGCCTGGGATTGAGTCCCACATAGGGCTCCTTGCTTGGCAGGGAGCCTGCTTTTCCCTCTTCCTCTGCCTGCCACTCCCCCTGCTCTTGCACACACACATACTCACTCTCTCTGACAAATAAATAAATAAAATCTTTTCAGAAATATCACTTTAAAAAAATAAGAATTACAGCTTTGAGTGCATGTGAGTCTGTGTTACTTAGGAGAAGCACCTAGACACCAAAGAAATAAAACAGCATGATAGGTAAAGAATATTAGGTAGGGTGGGGAACCAGATTCTTTTAGGCCCCTCTGAGGGTAGGCATAGTCCCAAAACCCAGGCCTCCTGTCTCACAATTGAGTGTTCTTTCATAACATGCAGTCTCTTGAGTAGATTCTTTAACAGAGGAAAGTGGTTTTATGTGGAGGGTTAATGTGATTGAAGCCAACTCAGATAAACATTTTTCGGCAGTGGCCTGCAGGTATATGACATTATTCCAGCGTTCCATGTCATGTAAGCTAAACTTACTGCTGTTTATCCACAAGATAGAATGATTTTAAGAAATATTACAGTAATCTTCACATGACTGCTTCCTTTTCAGGTTGCATTATTGTGGGACTTTGGAAAAATTCAGGGCCTTGAAGTAGATAATCTGAGTTTCCAGTTTAAATTTTATACACAGCTTTAACTATATGAAGAGGAGGAGCAAGTTAATAGCTCCTAAGCACTTGGGTGCATGTTGATTTAACTTGTTCCCCATAGTATTAGGCACAGAGTAAAAAGTCAGTAGCTTTTGGTCACACTTCAGTAATGACCATCCATTTTGTGAACTTCGGAATACGTTTTCTACTTAGCATTTGCTCTAAACTTGAGGTCTGTGTGATAAATTGCTATAAATGCTTGTAATGAACACTTGACTCAAATCTTGAACCCAAGACCTGAGGCAAACGGAAATACTGCATAATGCTTAGTTGATACAGACATGCGTGTCTGTATCTAAGCACCCTTTATGAATGAACATGTTGCCTTCCGGAGTGCTTAGATTTACAGAGCACCGAATGCAACATTCAGTTTCAAGCCTTTAAAAATTAATAGAATACCTGTTTTTTCTTATGGTGTGGGTAGGTGCTGATAAGTAGCATTCTTTCTTTTCCCCCAAGTTTGGTAACCTCCTGGGGGTGGACAGAAGAGTCAGAACTAAGAGTGTCCGCTTTGTCCTTACTGTATTTATCCCTGATTCATTGTTACCCACAGCTAGACAGTAACAGCTGGACAACTCCAGACATTCCTCCACAGAGCCATCCCTCCGTGGCTTTGAGCTGAGGACAGCCATACACAGTTTGTTCTGTCAAATTCTCCCTTGTGAGGAGGAATGAGTGAAGGCTGCTAGGAGAAGCTAGTAGTCCAGTGGTTCTCAGCCTTCTACATGTAGGCATCAGAATCTTGTGGAGAGCTTCAATAATAATAATGATGATGATGATGATGATGATGATGTAGATGCCTGGAACTCATGCCCAGAATTTCAGATTTTATTTGTCTGGCACAGTATTTCTATGAAAGTTTCCTGGAGTGGTCTAATTGTGCAGCCAGAGTTGAGAATCACGGCTCTAGTGGAAGTCCTCCATAGGAAAGAGGGGCTGGGGGAATAGAGGATGCCGCCTGCATGTATGCTCAAGTCCTGAAGTGGTACTCCCCAGATAATGCTGACTGTCCGCCATATCCTGTGTCATCTCGTACAAAAGATAACATTGCTGTGAGTCATACTGTCTGATAGCATCATAACCTTGGTCAAGTTGCTAAGTTTTTTGAGTGGGTTTTCTCATTTGTAAAGTGGAGATAATAGTACTTACTTCATAGAGGTGTTTTGAAGCTCAAAAAAGATAATGCGTTTGAAATGCTTTATTTGATAACCTGACACACAGGATAGGTACACATCTAATCGTGGCAGTCATCATCTTTATTAGGTAATTTGTCAGCATGCATGGAGTGTTGAAGGATTTTTCCTAAAAAATCGGCGTTCATTTAGATTGCCCAGTGTCTCTGGTCTGTATTTATCATCTTCAATTGCAACCGAATATTCAATCTTGACCCTTCCTCAGTTGTGTGGTATTAGATTATTTCTTACTTTCCACAAATACTGCTAGAACCAAAAATCATGTGGAAAGAGGAGTTCTTTGATTTTCTTGGAGTACAATTGCAAAAAAATTGGAATTACCAAGTCATAGGGGTATGGTCAGTAATATGAGATTACTCTAAAGGGAGAGTATCATGTGATGTACCATTGAGAATGTGTGGATTTGCTATTTGCCCACTTACCAAGGTGACTGGATAAGGAAATGTTGAGCTACTTGTTGACTAGAACAGCGAGGGATTGTCAGGGAACAGAACATGTTCTAAGCCTTAGATTTCTACATCAAGAAAAGGTATTCAGGGCTTAAAAACTTAGTTTACATTTGTCAGGAACAATTTTGGTATGCTATTAGATGCTGTTTCGAGAGCAACAATGATCTAATGCTTTTCTTTTTTAAAATAACAGTATGAAAGGAAATATTACAATTGGCCATTAGCCAGATAGGTTTTGCATTTATAGAAAAATATTAACAACATGCATTGTCTTTAATACATACAGTTTTTCTGAGGTGTTCTTAGGTAACTAACTAATCACTAACCCTTCTTCCCTTAAGTAGGGATGGCAAGTGAGAGGTTAGAATTGTTCTTAGGAATATTCTCAGTAAAGCAACTATGGATGACTTCATTTTATATGCAGAAATCATATAGATATGAAGATTATCAGGAAGTATATTCCAGAAATATAACATCCCAGTTACTTACTCTGCTACTTGGCTAATGAGATCATATAAGCCTCTTGGTAGATGTTCAAAAAACAAAATGAAACATACATATACATAATAAATGTTTGTGTGTATGATATGTGTAGCTTAATGCTACAAATTTTTACTTGTTTTTAAGTGACCAGTATCCTTGTTTAAAGCTAGATGTAAGTCAAATTTTGGAGAGTAATTAAATACCAGCCTGTTCCTATTTCTTTGTCACCATGTGAAATCAATCAGCTTCAACACAATCACCACTTCCACTCCATACTAACAACCCTTCTTTTGGTTTATTTTTGCAGGAGGTATATCGAATTCCAAAGAAAAGTCAAACTGAAAAGGAGAACACAAGTAGGTATTCAGAGGTACTCTGTGTATATGGCTTTACAAATACTCTTTTGGAAATATGCAGAGGTAAATGATAAGAACTTCGGCTATTTTGTTCTTGAAACCGGATAGTATGTAATTAGGTAAATGAGATATTTGGTGTAAAAGTTCGGAAACTTGCCTTTTTATTTTTTCTTAGTGAATTTTTGCCAAAGGAGATGTCCCTTTATACTGACTGTGCTGTTGCTTTCCTTGAAGTCATGGCTTTTAGTTGCTTTTCTTTCATTTGTTTGTTCCTCTAGAGCAGGCATTGTTAGACCTGTATTCCTGAATGTCTTTGTAAGTCTTTACCTGTAGATGTTTATATGCAGAATCCTTTATTTACATTAATTTTTGGGGAAAATTGAAAACTTTCATCAGATTCTCAGGAAGTCAGTGATCCCCTACAAGGTTAAGAATCATTATTACAGGGGTGCCTGACAAGTTAGTTCACTAGAACATATGACTTTTGATCTCAGGGTTGTAGGTTCGAGCCCTTTGTTGGGTTACTTAAAAAGTACTTTAAAATCTTGGAAAAAAAAGAAAAAATCATATTTTTTGCTTTTTCCCTTCTTGTTTCTTTTTTTGTTTTGTGTTGTTTTTGGTCTTTTTTCTATATTTTTAGCATGAAGAACTTTTTATAATTTTAATCTTACTGGTTAAATAATCTTATAGGTTAAAGCCCTGTGAGGTGTACTTTGCATCATTGTGGGGGTTTTATTTTTGTTTTGAATATTTTTAACTCTATTGGTTTAGTTTCTTTATAGCTAAACATTGTGCTTAAGGCTACAGAGAATTTCTCACATAAGAAAGAAGGCAGGGTTGAGTAGTGCTGGTTGGCAAAACCAGTGGCACTGTAAACTTGGTCATCAGGGCCTAGCTTCTCTGGGTTCAGTGAGTTGAAATCATTAGCAAGATGGGCAAAACTTAAATATCTGTGAAGGTTTACCCCCAACATTTTGCAAATAACTAGTCTGATGTGCCCTCTGAGAGATGCTTTCTGAAAATTGTCTATAATCGATGACTGATCTTTTCAGGAAGCCACCTTTTGTGTGCCAACTTTACTCGCCTTCACATATGTGACCCCCGATCAGTCTCCGGCATTTTATAAGAAATACTTATAATTAAAGCCTGGCTTCGAGGTTACCTCTCAATGTCAAGCAATTAAAGAGCTTAGAACTTTTAAAATTCCCAAGAACCGTAAATTATTTGGGGAAATATGTAGTCTAGCTTTATTCCTTTTATAATATGAAAAAAAAATCAGCCAGAATAAATGAAACAATTTCTCTACCTCACATATTCTAGGATGCAGAGTCAGAATATGAACTGTTAGTATGATTCCTTTTCTTACTTTACCAGGATATAGTGAAGAAATAGCTGCATTTTAAGGAAGTTAATACCAGCCCAAAGAACCTTGTTTTAAGAAGGAAATAGAGTAGTCATGGGCAGACCCAGAAGTAATTAGATAGTAGTACTTCCCAAAACGATGTTGTGCTCTAATACCCTGTGAGCTGCAGCAGTTGTTCTAATTGTATAGCGTTTTCTACCAGTATGTGGAGGTGAGTTCTGTTCTCACTGACAAATGCTCATATATGGCCACTGATGAACCATTTTTGCAAATAAATGGAGCTTTGGGCTCACCAACAGAAGAACTACAAGAATGGCAGATATAAACCTAATCCTGCCACTAGGGAAGAAAACAAGTAATAGCATGTTTTTCTGAGGTGAGAAAAAGAAAAAGCAGTTAATGTTTATTGTGAATCTGCTTTGTGCTGTGAGAGATATTTTATAAGAAATTCTCAAGAGCGTCATCTGATTAATCGGGGTAGCGGTGCTAACAAAGCAGCAGCATGTAGTACCAGTTAATTTATATTGAAATAGTCAGTGGTGGGGTTTAGACTTCGTAGGGGGATAAGAAAGTAGGAGGTGAGGTCAGTGAAAAGTAATAGACAACTTTTGGGAGCAGTAAGTATTGACCCAGCTGTATTTTGGAAAGTAAGTAAGTGGAATTGGGTGAGGACCATTCTAGGTAAAGAAGCTGAGTAGAAGAGGTTGATAGTATTATCCTTCAGTTGGAAAATGGCATTTTTGGGGGAAGATGTAGCTCTCTGGCTTGGATAACGTTCTGATTTATCACCTGTCATCTGTGTTTGAAATCTTTTCCTTTTGAAATGGTAGTTGTTTAAAAAAAAAAAAAAAAATTGTCTACTCCCCCCCCCAATACACACACCTTTTTTTTCAATTGAAGAGATTTTTTTCCATTTGAGGTTTTTATGCTTAACATGCCAGGCTGCTCTTCCATAAACTAAATATGCAGAGTTACAGGGGCAGTAGAAGGCTTTTACATTTTGAACTGCAAGCAGACTCCCCTGTTAAAGGTAATGGGAACATTTTGCATGCGTGTCTTCCACAGAACTTGTTAGAAATGTTGAAGGCTTGGACTGAGAGTTTTGTTGGGGAAGGTGGAAAAGTGAATTCATGGCAGGGACTTGCAGGATAGAGTGCGTGCACACACTCAATACCTTCTGTCTCATCCAAATTCCGGATGGGCCTTTGAGGGAGGAGAGTCTATAGACCCATTTGTTGGATAGAAATTGTATTATACAATTGACATGCTATCATGGAGAAGAGTCTGCCAAGTAAATTTTTAAAAACCCTTTTCCCTTAGTAACTGACCGAGGAAGGGATGCTGTTGGCTTCAGAGATCAAACAGCTGCCCCAAAGACTCCTAACAGGTCAAGAGAGAGAGACCCAGACAAGCAAACTCAAAATAAAGAGAAAAGGAAACGAAGGGGCTCTCTCTCACCACCTTCTTCTGCCTATGAGCGGGGAACAAAAAGGCCAGATGACAGGTAAGTGGCCTGTGTGAGTTACTCTCTTTTCTGAGCCAGTCAGAAAGTTCCCAAGTCAATACTTCTGATTTTGGGCACCAAGGGGTTTTGGAATAAATATGTTCTCTTGATGAGTGAGTATAAAACTTTACTGATAAATATTGAAATAGAGTTTCTTTTGACAGTGAGGACTAGGTTTCTACTTGATAACATTTAAATGCTATTTGAGGAGCCAAAGATTTGTTCTTTAAAGGGGAGTGGAGATTGGTTGGAGATAACTCTTTAAAGATAATGGTAACTCTTCTAAAGCCAGAACTTTGTTTTCTAATGAATCTTGTGCGGATCAGTCAAAATGCTGATTGATCCCTGTGTCAGAGGCTGTCTTTGCCTTGCTTGTAGAAAAACAAGCCACATGGTGACCCACTGGGTACTAGAAAACATTTATTCCAGAGAAGTTTTTTTTAAATTAAATTTATTTTGGGGGGTGCCTGGGTGGCTCAGTTGGTTAAGCATCTGGTTTTAGCCCAGGTCATGGTTCAAGGTCCTGGGATCCAGTCCCTCACTCTAATCCTGCTCAGCAGGGAGTCTGCTTCTCCCTCTCCCTCTGCCCCTACTGCTGCTTATGTGTTCCTTCCCTCTCTCTCTTTCAAATAAGTAAAAAAACTTTTAAAAATAAAATTAAATTTATTTTTTGAAAACATGAAGTATTGCATTCATATAATGCAGTTGCCAGAATTTTAAATTTGGGATTGTCAGAGTTTGTAATAGTAAATTCATCATGATTTTTTTTTTTTAATTTATTTGACAGAGATCACAAGTAGGCAGAGAGGCAGGCAGAGAGAGAGGAGGAAGCAGGCTCCCCGCTGAGCAGAGAGCCTGATGTGGGGCTCAATCCCAGGACCCTGGGATCATGACCTGAGCCGAAGGCAGAGGCTTTAACCCACTGAGCCACGCAGGCGCCCCTCATCATGATTTTAATTTGCATTACCCTAATAGTTAAATAGATTGAACATCTTGTCATATATTTATTGGTCATCCCTGTTTCCTCTAATGTGAAGTGTCTTTTAATAGGTGCTGTTTGTTTAGTTTTTATCTTTTTGAGTTTAGGATTTATTTTTTAGGGGTTCTTTATATTCTAAATATAATTCTGCTTTGATAATAATTTTTGCAAGTATTTTTTCCCAGTTTGCGACTTATATTTTGACTCCTTTGTGTCTTTTGATATATAGAATTTATTAATTATGGTGTAATTGACTACATCACGTGTATGTTTCCTTCATGGTTAGTGCTGTGTTTTAGAAATTCTTCCCTGTCCTTGAGGTGATGATACTCTCTTCTTTTCTTGTGCTTAATTTATTGGGAATCAATTTTTGTGTATGTTGTGAGGTAGGAATATGGTTTTCATTTTTTTCTAAGTGAATACCCAATTGTCTCTGCACCATTTACTTGAAAGCCTGTCCTTTCTCCTTGATCTGCAACACTGTCTCTCTCTAATAAGCTTTTATATGTGGGAGGATCTGTTTTGGGGCTCATAATGTGACTGTAGCTTATATTAAGTCTTGATAGCAAGTAGGGCAAACCCCTGCTTGATCTTCGGGATGTCATCTCTTTTCTGAGACTTGTTCTCCTTAGGATCTGCTTGTCAGATTTCTCCTACTATCTCCACCCCCCCCCCCCCCCCCAAGGTGATTCTGAGGAGACTTGACATCTTTAACAGTTTTTTGAGTATTTCTGTTCCTATATTCAAACTGAGTATTCAGATATGCTCTGTCTAGTTAGGTCTTTAATATTTTAAATATTGAGTTTTTTGTTAATCTCCTTATTTGTTTATAGTTTCCTGCAGAAAGACTTTGGTATCTTGGTATATTCATTTCTGAGAACATTAATTTTTGGTTACGTTTTCAGCTTGTTGCTAGTATGTAGATGTGCAGTTGAATTTTGTTATATTGATCTCATGTTTGGTGACCACATAGAAACTCACCGATATTTCAAAAGTATAGGGGTTTTTCCCTTTTTGTTTTTGTATTTGTCAACAATCCCCATCATATAAATTTCTGTTTTTCCTTTCTAGTTCTTTCGCCTTTCTTGCTATTTTGCTAGCAGTGCCTCCAGTACAAATCACAGAATAGCAGTGTTTTGTTTTTTTGGGGGGAGAGGGTAATTGATTTCTAGTCATGTTTTATTTTCTTCCACTTTTTTGGGCTTATTTTTTTTAAATAAATTTTTAATTGGAATAATTGAGATTTTTTAGCTCATTAATTTTCAGCATTTTTCTCTTCAAAGTAAAGTGTTGAAGGATTTAAATTTCTCCGTAAGTACTATTTGAACTACTCTTTTGATAGCACAGTTTTGTTTTGTTTTGTTTGAAAGAGTTTATTTATTTATTTGATAGAGAGAGACACAGCGAGAAAGGGAACAAAGACAGGGGGAGTAGGAGAGGGAGAAGCAGGCTCCCACTGAGCGGGGAGCCCAATGTGGGGCTCGATCCCAGGACCCTGGGATCACGACCTGAGCCAAAGGCAGACGCTTAATGGCCCAGCCACCCAGGTACCCTGATAGTGCAGTTTTATCATAATCTAGTTCTAGATACTGTTATGGTTTGCAATGTGTTTAAATTTATTTTTGTTAAATCTCAAATTTAATTGCTATTAATCAGTTTTTATTATACCAGCTCTTAGAATTTTATTGAGACTTGCTTTAGAATCTATTTCATTTGATGTTAATAGAAGTATGCTATCTTCCTGTTGCTAGGATTTAACTGATAATGTATTTTTTCCTTCCTTTTACTTTTAACTTTTCTGTGTCTGATAGATAAATAGCTTTATGGATGATTGATTTATTTTTTAAATTCTTTGTGGCATTTCTTTAACTGGTTGTTTCACTTAAATAGAATCTAAAGCTAATCAATATCCTGAACAACATTTGTACTTTAGGATACTCTGATCGTTCAGTTTATATGCTGTTACTGTCCAGCATTGTAATTTCTTGTTGCTTTGTCCCATTCGTTATTGTCAACTTTTTATGTGTACACAAACTGACTTACTAATTTGTTTACATTTGTCAATTTCTTTGTTCTCCATTCTTTCTCCTTAGACCTTCCTTTAGAAGATTTTGTTTAGTGATTTTTTGTTCATCTTATTTTTCAGTTTTTGTCTAAAAAATCTTGTTTGCATTGCTCACCTTCAGTTTTAAAAATCAGCTTTACTTAATCAGTAGATATAAATTACTTACAGAAATATTATAAGTATATAATTCAGTGTGTTTTGACAAATGCATGCAGTTAAGTAACCACCCACAGTCATCATATAGACATTTCTGTCATCTCAGAAAATTCTTTTGAGTTCTTTGTAGGCGGTCACCTTCTCCTACTCATAGTTCCTGGCAGCCAGCCACTGCCCTGCTTTCTGACCCACTGGTTTTGTCTTTTCCAGAATGTCATGTATATATGACATCATACTCTAGATAGTATTTGATGTGTCTTTCCTTAGCAGATTGCGTTTGAGATCCATTCATGTTTTGTGTTCCAGTAGTTCCTTTTTATTAATAAGTGGTAGTCCATTGGGTAGGTATACCAGAGTTTGTTTACAGATTCCTTAGTGGATAGGCATTTGGATTGTTTCCAGGTGGCTGATGTGAATATTACAAGTGTAAGACATATACATGTTTGAGTCTTTATGTGAACATGGACTCTCATTTTTTAAAAAAAGATTTTATTTATTTATTTGACAGACAGCACAAGTAGGCAGAGAGGCAGGCAGAGAGAGAGGAAGGGAAGCAGGTTCCCCGCCTAGCAGAGAGCCTGACTCGGGGCTCGATTCCAGGACCCTGGGATCATGACCCGAGCTAAAGGCAGAGGCTTTAACCCACTGAGCCACCCAGGCGCCCTGGACTTCATTTTTTAAAAGGAAGTTTTGCTGAGTTTAAAGTTTTTCTCTTTTTAAAATGTTTTTATTTTTTTAAAGATTTTATTTATTTATTTGACAGAAATCACAAGTAGGCAGAGAGGCAGGCGGGGAGGGGGGAGGCAGGCTCCCCGCTGAGCAGAGAACCGCCCCCCCCCCCATGCGGGGCTCTATCCTAGGACCCTGAGATCATGACCCAAGCCCAAGGCAGAGGCTTAACCCACTGAGCCACCCAGGCGCCCATCTCTTGTTCTGCTTTTAAGATGTTCTCTTTGTATTTGGTGTTCTGCAGTATCACTACCCTATGTTTATATGAGAATTTCTTCTTTTCTCTGGTTGAAATTCATTGAACTTTTTGAATTTGAAGATTGTCTTCTGTTACTTATTCTCTTCAGATCTGATCTCTTGCTTAACTATACCATGTATCTATACTATCCCCTGCCTTTACTACTTGAGATGCCTGTCTTTTTTCCTGTGTTCATTATACCCTGGCTTTCCTTTTTTAAAGTACCATTTTATGTCCTCTAATATATATTTTAAAATAATATATTAGTTTTTAACTTTATGAAAAGGCCGCTCTTCTGTGTTTAATTTGAGGGTACTTTGTTTTCACTTGGTATTGTATTGCTAAGATTTATCCACAATTGTATGTATCAGTTTATTCCTTTTCATTGTTGTACGTAACATTTTGTTGTAAAATGTAGATAGGCATTTGGATTTTTCTGTTATGTATAGTGCAGTTATCTAATTATGAGGTACATATGCAACAGGGTCTGGGGTATATGAGTAGAATTGTTGAATTGTCAGGTATGTGCATGCTCAATTTTATATGATAATTGAGTTTTAATTTCCACTCTTTTTCCTTTCTAGATGTTTCATGAGGTGGTTTTTCAAGTCTACCTGATAGTTTTTTATGGTCCCATTCCTTAGTAATATTTTTAATAGCCTCTTATTTCATTAAACATAAATGTCTCTTATAGTCTGTGTCAGATAATTCCAGTACCAGTTTTTGTGGGTTTCTTCCTCTCATTTGTTTATATAGGTATATGTATAATTTTATAATTTTATTTTTAATGAACTCATCATGTTCTTTAGAATTTGATCTGTGGGAATTCACTGAAGCCTAGATTTTTGGATTTAAGGTGCTTTCTTCTGTAGACTAATTGCATTTGTTTCTGCCAGGCAGCTAAGGATACTACCATCCCATTAACACTTTATTTATTTATTTTTTTAAGATTTTATTTATTTGACAGACAGAGATCACAACTAGGCAGAGAGGCAGGCAGAGAGAGAGGGGTGGGGAAGCAGGCTCCCCGCTCAGCAGAGAGCCCAATGTGGGCTGGATCCCAGGACCCTGAGACCATGACCTGAGCCGAAGGCAGAGGCTTAACCCACTGAGCCACCCAGGCGCCCCCCATTAACACTTTAAAGGGAACTTTCAGCTTAAGAGTTTTTTATACCATATGTTTTTTGTTGTTTGGATAAATGTTATGCCCCTGTCCGTGAAGCTGTTCTTAGATGTTTTTTTGCAATGAAACCTCTTGAAATTAGTTGTTGTTTTTAAATTTTTGCAAAGAGCACTTTCTCAGAAGTTTGATTCACTCCATAGAACTTCACAACAAACTCTTTTAAGCCTTCAGTTCTTGGGGCACCTGGGTGGCTCAGTTGATAAGTGTCTGCCTTTGGCTTGGGTCATGATCCCAGGGTTCTGTGATTGAGCCCCACTGGGGCTGCCTGCTCAGCAGGAAGCCTGCTTCTCCCTCTCCTACTCCCCCTGCTTGTGTTCCCTCTGTCACTGTGTCTCACTCTGTGTCAAATAAATAAATTTTGAAAATCTTAAAAAAAGAAAAGAAAAGCCGTCAGTTCTCTTCCTTTGAATGTTAGAGCTGATGGTTTCTAAGAGGCCTTGTCAAAACCATCATAGGGCGTTAGGCTTAGCAGTAAAATATATTATTATATTTGGTATTGCACAGAGAAGAGGAGCTGAATATAACTCCCCATACTTTTCTGTGTGCATTCTCATCCTTCACTTAACTGCTCTCTGTTGAATTTGTCATGAATACATGTGGTCAGATAGACATCAAATTCTGTAGCTTTTATTAGTGTATTTTGTTTTAATTTCAGTATTTATAAACCTAGAACTGTATAGAGAGCTATGCAAGTGTAAAGAAGAATGTGTTTAGAATATTATATGTATCTTTAATTTGAGTTCTAGAATCTGAGAATAAAGATAAAGTTATTGGCCCCTCAGGTCATGATCCTGGGATCAAGCTCTGCATTGGGCTCTCTGCTCAGCAGGGAGCCTGTGTCCCCTTCTCTCTCTACCTGCCTCTCTGCCTACTTGTGATCTGTCTCTCTCTGTCAAATAAGTAAATAAAATCTTAAAAAATAAAAAATAAAAGTTATTATTTTCAGGGCGCGTGGGTGGCTCAGTGGGTTAAAGCCTCTGCCTTCGGCTCAGGTCATGATCCCAGGGTCCTGGGATCAAGTCCCACATTGGGCTCTCTGCCTCAGCAGGGAGCCTGCTTCCCCCTTTCTCTCTCTCTGCCTGCCTCTCTGCCTACTTGTGATCTCTGTTTGTTAAATAAATAAATAAAATCTTTAAAAAAAAAAAGTTACTATTTTCTTCTAAATGTTTTCTTGAGATTCTCTTCTATCTGCAGGATTTCTTAAGTAATTTTGACTGATTTTTAACCAATGCCAAATTGGATTTGGCGTGATTAATGGTTTAGTATTGAGTGACATACCTTTATTAATGCTTTGATTATGTCCTTGATTTAGGGAAGAACATTTGTGATGCTCTGACTGTTTTCTTTCTAGATATGATACACCAACTTCTAAAAAGAAAGTACGAATTAAAGACCGCAATAAACTTTCTACAGAGGAGCGTCGGAAGTTGTTTGAGCAAGAGGTGGCTCAGCGGGAGGCTCAGAAACAACAGCAGCAGATGCAGACGCTGGGAATGACGTCTCCACTGCCCTATGACTCTCTTGCTTACAATGCCCCTCATCACCCCTTTGCCGGCTACCCACCAGGTTATCCCATGCAGGCCTATGTGGATCCCAGCAACCCTAATGCTGGGAAGGTGCTCCTTCCCACACCCAACATGGACCCTGTTTGTTCTCCTGCTCCTTACGATCATTCTCAGCCCTTGGTGGGACATTCTACAGAGCCCCTTGCTGCCCCTCCACCCGTGCCAGTGGTGCCCCATGTGGCAGCCCCTGTGGAAGTTTCCAGTTCACAGTATGTGGCCCAAAGTGAAGGTGTGGTACATCAAGACTCCAGCGTCACCGTCTTGCCAGTGCCAGCCCCAGGCCCAGTCCAAGGACAGAATTATGGTGTTTGGGATTCAAACCAACAGTCAGTCAGTGTCCAGCAGCAGTATTCTCCTGCACAGTCTCAAGCAACCATATATTATCAAGGACAGACTTGCCCAACTGTCTATGGTGTGACGTCACCCTATTCACAGACAACTCCACCAATTGTACAGGTAACCTTTGGAACCTCTCTTGTCTGTCTTGTTCTGTTTATGGGATGTTAAATCTGATGTGAAGGGGGAGTCCTGCCATTGATTACTTTTACGTATCAATCAGTTGCATATGTATTAGTTATCTCCTGCTATGTAACAAATTACACCAGAATTTAGTAGCTTAAGACAACTGGTAATTATTATCTGACAATTGTTGTGAGTCAGGAATTCAGAAGTAGCTTGTCTGGATGGATGGTTTGGACTCAGAGTCTTTCATGAAATTAGAGTTTGACTGTTAACCAGGGCTGTAGTCATCTGAAGGTTGGGCAAAGGATGGAAGATTCACTTTGAAGCTCACTTACATGGTAGTTAACTCCGTTTTCTGTCTTCATATGGACCTTTCTGTAGGTCTTCTTACAGTGTCCAGATGACTTCCCCCAAAGCAAGAGATGGAGAGCAGCTTTTGGATACTTCTCTCCTTTTTGCTTATAGGCAGTGAATAATACACAGTTAATTCTTTTATATTGCTGCAGTGGGAGGACTTTTGTCATGGTAACTGAGTCAGGAGATGGCTTGTCCTTTTCTTCTGAGACCTGGTGTGTATATTTTTTTTTTATCCCCTACATGTTTATCATCACAAATTTTGCCAGAGTGTCTGTGATGCACTGAGCCGGAGGATATCACTGTAGTAGGAAATAGTAATGTTAAATTTAAAGGCTGAGTGTACTGATTTTATATTTCAAAGTGTATTTTTGTGCCTTTTTTTTTTTTAAGATTTTATTTATTTACTTGACAAAGAGAGAGATCACAAGTAGGCAGAGAGGCAGGCAGAGGGCGGGGGGTGGAGGGGGAAACAGGCTCCCCACCAAACAGAGAAGCCCGATGAGGGGCTCAATCCCAGGACCCTGAGACCACGGCCTGAGCCGAAGGCAGTGGCTTAACCCACTGAGCCACCCAGGTGTCCCTATTTTTGTGCTTTTAAATCAAGTTTCTTTTCTGTAGAATACAGCAGTACATTTTAAGCTTAAAAAAACAAAAAAGTAATGTATAAAGCATCCTCCTCACCACATTCCTACGTCTCTCACATCACTCCTTAAAGGTGAATTTTTGTGGATGGGGGAGATTTGCAGAGATAATTCCTGCACACATTACTTAGTACTGATCAGTACCGTGATTTGTCACTATTTTTGTGATGAAGCTGCGTCAAAATTTAGTTTGTAAGGCCATGACAAGGTATCTAGTTTTAATTCCTAAAATTCTAAGTGTTAACTATGTTCATTTTGGATGATCTCTTTATCCACATGCTTATATATTTTACGTATTTGTAATTTTGAAGATTTGGAACTATCCCATTGTTTATACTTAACATGATTCTTAACCATTTTCCCAAATTACTCTGTATTTTTATATATGTGCATGTGAATATACATACGCATATGCATTTTAATGGCTATATAACATCCCATTTGCTTATCAAATAATTTCTTACCCATTTTTCTGGGGGTATTCATTTAAAAGTTCTTTTTATAATTATAAATAGCACTTCACTGAACATTCTTAGGTTTCTTTTGTTTTTTTCTTTCATGTTTGGCTTACAATGAATATTGTAGTGCTAAATAAGGCTAATAAAATGGGTGTTGGGGTGCCTGGCTGGTTCAGTTGGTGGAGCATATAACTCTTGATCTCCAGGTTGTGAGTTCAAGCCCCATGTTGGGTTTAGAGGTTACTTAAAAATAAAAATCTTTTTTTTCTTTTTTTATTCTATTCATTTACTAGAGAGAGAGATGGGGGGGGGTTGGAGGGAGTGGGGAGAGGGAGAAGCAGACTCCCCGCAGGCCTTGATCCCAGGACCGTACCCCACCTGGGATCATGACCTGAAGTGGAGGCAGACACTTAACCAACTGAGCCACCCAGGCACCCCTTATAAATAAAAATCTTAAAAAGGGACGCCTGGGTGGCTCAGTTGGTTGGACGACTGCCTTGGGCTCAGGTCATGATCCCGGAGTCCTGGGATTGAGTCCTGCATCGGGCTCCTAGCTCCATGGGGAGTCTGCTTCTCTCTCTGACCTTCTCCTTGCTCATGCTCTCTCTCACTGTCTCTCTCTCAAATAAATAAATAAAATCTTAAAAAAAAAATCTTAAAAAAGAAAAGAAAAGAAAGTGGGTATTATTGGCCATTAGGTATCAATTTTTTAAGTATTGTCTTTCTTTTTGTATGTTTAATTTTGCCTCCTACAGAATGTTTTAAGTGTCTTAAACAAATTTCTTAGATTCTGACTTCTGCTTTCTTATCCTATTCTTTCTTGGACCAAGCCATTCATTTTGAGATTTTCCCTGAGAATGTGTATCAGATGTAAGAATTATGGTCTGCTGCTATCCCATTTCTATTCCTGAAGTATGTCCTTAACCTAGGTTTTAGAGCATAAACAACAGCAGTGGAGGATACTTATTAAAGACTCGCCAGGAGAGAGTTAACTGGTCATTTGGCCATTCTTATGAAATGGAGTCTGTTTTTTCCATCCCACTGAGCAGAAGATTTAGGCATAGCCTTAGGACTCAAGCATTACAATTTTGCTTGCTTGTAGTTTTCCTTTCCGTTCTACCAAGGAGTCATATGTTAGATCCCTAATGTATTTTGTTTGTGCTAGAGTGGTAGGTAAATGGAGTTGGATGGTCCAGACTGTTCTTTCTTTCTCTGTGAGATTAGTTATCAGAGATGATGCCGGGCTTTGGGTGATGAGAATCATAGAACATGTTGTCAGTGTGTGTTTGGAGTCCGTGTCCATCATTTCATGTATGTCTTGGAGACAGGTGCTTCATTTATATTCTTCAGTTTTACTTATCTATGAAATGAGCTGAATGCCTCAGAGTGGTTGAGGTTTGCATGAGCTAATGGATACTAATAATGGTAGATTTAAAGCACCATGTACCTTGAAGGCTTAATTATAGTTATTATTCAGTTACCTTAATGATACTGAGAGAGTATTGATGTTAGTGGGGTGTGAAATCCTCCTAGTCAGGGTCATCTTCTAGTGTCTGGTCTAACGATCGTCAACCTCCAAGAGGAGGCCTTGAGGTTTGTGTTCGAGCATAGTATTGACCGTACCAACATGGGCTACTGAGAGTTTGCAAGATATAACTTTGACAGTGAAGGTAGTAGGTAATATAACACAAGTTTGTGTGTGTGTGTACATATGCAATATGTTTGACATTTGGAACAGATGTATGATCAGAAGGTGACTTTCATTTTTTTGCTGTAATTGCTTATTAAACATAAAAGCCCGATTTCCACAGAGACCACATGATTTATAGTGGTTTTGTGACATTACTAAGTGGCCTATTCTTACAAAGTCGTACTGAATCACATCTCAAAAAATGCAGTGCTAAGGACTATAATTTTTCACATTATAAAGTGAAGTGACTCAGTTATAAAGTAATAGTGATTTTTTTTCCTTCTCTAGAAGTAGGGGCAGAATAATCATGTCTATAACATTTTAGACATTTTTAGATTTCTCTTGTAAATTCCATGGGAAGTCCCATTTTAAAGATATTTGTAGACTGGATTGATGTTTGAGAAAATTAGCTTTTATGTAATTTCATGTCTCTTGAAGGGGAGAGCCAGTGTCCTACAGATGTCCCCCCTCCCCCGCATATAGAGAGACTTGATCGGCATATGTTATTTGTGTCTCACAAGTGTGTAACATCTTCCATACGAACCTCAGTGGGACTGCAAACCTGTTCTCCCTTTTTATTGCTGTTGTTAGTTTTGGCATTGACATGTGTTTGTCCGCTGGTTTGGATAGCTTCTATAGAAGCCTGGAGGATGTTCATTTTCCTCTTTCTTTTTGACAGTCTGGGTTTTAAAGACTGTACCTCTAAATGATTTGTTGCTGTCTTGGGTGACTTTTTTTTTTAGTCTAGCAAGGCTGATACGGTTCAGATATTTTTGGCATTTCCTTTGGAAGTTATTTCCAGTATGTGTTCCATTCTCTCCTGATGATAAATTATCATCCTTTAAATATATATTTGCTTTTTAGAAACAGGTGAAATTTGTCTGGAGCCTCCTCTGGCAAATACAGAGAATGATCCAGCTCGATAAAGCCATTGCAGTTCAGAAGTTACCACACAGCCAGCACTTGGAGTGAGAGTCTTCATGCTAAAGAAACCATAGCTTTACTTCATTACTTTACATTAATCAGGTCCTTTAAAGTGTCTCCATTGATGAGCCTTACTTACTAACTCTGATCTTGTCAGACAGATTTTCCAGGAGCAAAGTTTCACGGAAGGTCAAAGGAATTTTTAGCCTCCAAAATATTAGCGTTTTTCTGTTGCAGATTTGAGTGCTTGACCTCCTGATCACTCTGGAGATAACATGTTTATCAGTTTACTGCCTTCTTCAGCCCCCCAGAAACTTTTTTTTTTTAAGATTTATTTATTTATTTGAAAGAGAGAAAGTGTGCGTGCATGGGTGTGCGTGAGTGGGGACAGGGGCAAAGGGAGAGGATCTTGAGCAGCGCTGAGTACAGAGCCCAGTGTGGGGCATGGTCTTAACCACCCGTGAGATCATCATGACCTGAGTCAAAACCAAGAGCCAGACCCTTAACCTACTGAGACACCCAGGCGCGCCCCCAGAAACTGTTTTTACCCAGAATCAGATTTACCAGCGCATATATATTAACCCCCTACATGCACAGTAACTTGCCTCTTGTATCCACTCTTCAAGATTCTTCCTGCTGGCCATCAGGGCTCTTGGAAGTTCACTTTCCGGGTAAAGTGGTGATAATAGACTAGAACCCAGCTAGATATGTTTTGTTTTATGGCTTATTTTCAGCAAAGTTGAAATCGAACTTAAAAAGAATTATTTATACTTCACTTTTAAGGTTATACTTTTAAATTTCTTGAATAGTATTTGATCATCTTTTTTGCTGATAATCGTTTTGTACTAAACTCTGATTCAGTATTGTCTGGGTATACATCAGCATTAAAAAGTCCTTTTGGTTGGGCGCCTGGGTGGCTCAGCAGGTTAAAGCCTCTGCCTTCGGCTCGGGTCATGATCCCAGGGTTCTGGGATCAAGCCCCACATCGGGCTCTCTGCTCTTCAGGGAGCCTGCTTCCTCCTCTCTCTCTCTGCCTGCCTCTCTACCTACTTGTGATCTCTGTCAAGTAAATAAATAAAATCTTAAAAAAAAAAAAAAAGTCCTTTTGGTTTAACCAGATTTCATGCTTTGGGACCAGAATTAGGTTGGGAGATAATACTTGTTTCTACAAAATCTTTGATGTTGTGCAGGTTTCCCATCTTGTATCCAAATACTTAGAGATGAAAGCATTTCTATTTTGTGATATTATTTGGATAATAATTCTGCCTTGACAGGTAACATTGAGTGTGGTTTCTCTGTGTAGATTAAGCTGTTCCAGAATATTGAATCAAGTACTGCTAACCTTTGAACAATTCAGGGGTTAGGGGCACCAACTCCCCCCAAACAAAAATCCTGCATATGATTTTTAACTCCCCCCAAACTTAACTACTGTTGGCTGAAAGCCTTAATGGTAAATGGTCAGTTAACACATATTTTGTATGTTATATGTGTTATGTTCTGTATTCTTAAAGTAAGCTAGAGAAAAAAAAAATGAGAAAATCATAAGGAAAATGCATTTACAATACTATACTGTGGAAAATCCATCTGCTAAGTGGCCCCATGCAGTTTAAATCATGTTGTTCAAGCGTCAGCTGTGTCGTACTTCTCTTTTTCTTGGTGCCCTCTCAGTACTTACTCATCCAGAAATCTTTTAGTTCCATTGGCCTATTCAGACTCCTCGGTTCTTTACTGGTATCACTTGGAATGGTTATATTTTACATTTTGGGTATTTGTTAATATATGCTTCTGAAATCATTTTATGTGGTATAATCTCAGTCTGTAGAATCAAAATCTGTCCTTAAGTACAGGATACCTGTTCATTTCCTTGGTATTCATCACCTCTTAAGACAACAGAGCTGTTTTTCGGGATATGTTTCTCGCCTCTTCTTTAAGCAGTTTTTCTGTCAGAACTAATTCCAGACTAGGTGTAAGTTACAGCTGTGGCACTTTATTAGGTTGCTCCCCATATGGGAGACACCCACCTCTGATGGTGATCAGGACTTAATGAGACCATGTATGTGAAAGGGCTCTTTCTAAGCTTCATAAAGCACGGTATGAACCTACCTGTATGTGGTAAGAATTTTGGATCAAAGGAATTCTGCTGTCTTACTTGGAAGGAGTTGTATTATCGAAGACTACAGAAAGCTAAAAAAACAAGTTTAAAATTTGATCACCATCTTAATTCCTCTGCTACCTCACTCTCCGACATTTTCTGGTCAGAACACCTGGTAGGTTTTGTTGTTGTTGTTGTTTTTCAAAGATTTTTATTTATTTGACAGAGATCACAAGTAGGCAGAGAGGCAGGCAGAGAGAGATAGGGGGAAGTAGGCTTCCTGCTGAGTGGAGAGCAGATGCGGGGCTCCATCAGGACCCTGAGATCATGACCTGAGCCAAAGGCAGAGACTTAACCCACTGACCCACCCAGGTGCCCAGAATACCTGGTAGTTTTTAGGAGTTGGTGGTATAAAGGTTCTGTGCAAAGAGTCCTGGGGAGCGATCTCTTGGATATCATAAGTGCCACATACCTTTGGTACTGCAGCTTGGGACAGCTCTTAGGAGCACCACCTACAGCCCACCCAAGTGTTTTGGGTTTTTTTTTTTTTGGTGAGTTTCTTTCTTTCTTTCTTTTTTAAATGATAAAACCAAGGTAAGTAAATGACTAGGGAATTGTTTAAAAAAAAAAAAAAGGAATCTTAGGTGTTTGCAACAGAAGACTTTTACACATTTGTATCCAAATATTCTTTACTAAAAGTTTTTTAAAATTAATGGATTCCAATAAGGTGATACCAACTTCGAAGTTAATTACTGCTGTATTAGAGCTAGAAAAGTCTAAATTTTGGATTTCTCCATTTTATCTTTTAGAATTATGCCCAGCCAAGTCTTCAGTATATCCAGGGACAGCAGATTTTCACAGCTCATCCACAAGGAGTGGTGGTCCAGCCAGCCGCGGCCGTGACGACAATAGTTGCACCAGGGCAACCTCAGCCCTTACAGCCAGTAAGAGAAATATTTCAGTTGATAAAATGCTCATTGGCTGCGTATCTCATCCTTAGAAGGTTTACTTTTTTGTTTTGTTTTGTTTTCCACTCTGTTTTTTGTTATTAACTTTTGTAGTCCCCAGTTTCGCGTAAGTGCTTATGTCCCAGAGGAAGCATTACTCACCATTTTTAAAAAAATTCTGTGAAATTTACAGCAATGTTGATAGATACATATTTTGCTCCTGCTATCCATTTTATTTGTAATTTTAACTGACTGATTTGTATTTTTATACTTTGCTAGGAATTCTAATGTAACAGTTTTCTCAAGTCACTATTTTTATTTTACGGAGCCCTAGAATATGATACTACACTAGACACTGTGGACTGGGGGTATAGAAGTGAGTGATATACTTCACTGTACACGTTGTACAGTATGGCATTCTTCCACATATGGAGGAGGGTACGGGGAAATCTTGAAGTGGGAACTAGGAGGCTGGCATTGGAAGCAGTTGAGCAGCCAAACAGAATAACTTACCTATTAGCACTTTGGAATTCTGACAGTTCAGAGAAGGCTCCTGCAGCGATCCCATGAGTGATGGTGGCTTTTGGCGGGTAGGACAGTGAGTGGAGATGGAGTATAAAGACCGCATGTGAGACAGTTGGGGGCTGAGACCGTTTGCACTTCCAGCAGATACTTGAGGGCTTGCTGTGAGTTGGGCCCTTCTAGGAACTCTGCATACAAACCTAAACTTCCATTCCTGTTCTCAGAAGCTCATATTCCACTTAGAGAGTTAAGGATCACAATGAATAATCCTAAAAGTAGAGATTAGTATCACAAAAAAGTACAATTAGTATCACAAAAAAAGTAGAGCTAGTTTGAGGAGGGAAAGAACCATTCCCAGGTGTGGGAAGGATTAGTAATTTGGTTAAGTTCTGAATGATTTGAAGTGTTTTTTTTGTTTTGTTTTGTTTTTTCTTTTTGGATTTGAAGTATTCTTTTTTCCCTCCTGCAAAGATTTTATTTATTTATTTGACAGAGAGACAGCAAGAGAGGGAACATCAGCAGGGGGAGTGGGAGAGGGCAAAGTGGGCTCCCTGCTGAGTAGAGCCCCTGACACAGGGCTAGATCCCAGGACCCTGGGATCATGACCTGAGCCAAAGACAGACACTTAATAACTGAGCCACCCAGGTGACCCTGGATTTGAAGTATTCTTAAGTGACACAGAAGCTTAGGGAAAAAAGGTCACTTTATAGGCTAGAGGACTACAGGAATGAAGCGGAACTGAAGTAGGACACCAAAAACAGCAGCTACATGAAGTAGGGATTAGTGGTATACACAAAGCAGTGATGCTTCAAGACCTATGTTTGTTTAAAAGTGGTCACATTTTGAAAAAGAAAAAAGTGGTTGCATTTTACCTGAGGCTGGGATCTTGGGTTCCTCTTTGATTGCTCAAGCAAAGGTAAAGCTGGAAGAATGATTCTGTGTTAACTGGTTTACATAAAATGGACAGTTTAGGGCATATATTCTTATAGCAGTTTATTACGAGTCTTCCAGAGCTACTATAACAAAATGCCACAAACTGAGTGACTTAAACAACAGAAATTCATTTTCTTACTGTTCTAGGGCTGGTAGTCTGTAAGATCAGATGTCAATAGGCTTCGTGTCTCCTGAGGCCTCTCCTTGGCTTATAAATGGTTGTCTTCTCACTGTATCTTCACATGGCCTTTTCTCTGCCCACATTCCCTGATGTCCCTTCCTCTTATGAGTGTACCAGTCCTGTTGGATTAGGGCACTACCCTTATGACCTCATTTAACTTTAATTCCCTCTTTAAAGGCACTTTCTCCAAATAGTCACATTGGGAGTTTGGTCTCCAACATATGAATTTGGGGGAAACAATTCAGTCCCTAACAGTGATTGTGAAATTTTTATGTTTTTCAAAATGTGACACTAAATTTTTTAATATAAATATGAAGTTTTGAACATACAGAAAAATAGATAATGGATAAATGTTAACATTCTGTCATACTTGCTTTTCAGATTTTTGTCTTTAAAAAAAGAGAGAGAGTGAGCTCTATATAATTAGTATCCTGAAGTTGGTATATGCCATTTAGCATTGGTTTTATCAAGGTTGAAAGATACTGCTCTAGATAATGAGCTGCTGAATATTTTTAAAGGTGATCTCTTGGATGGTGAATTTGGAGCCAACTGTCAGTTTTCTGATAGATCCTTAAAGCTATTCATAGAGCCATCTCTGATCATTTCCCAGATTGGACTTTTGTTTTATTGTTTTTCAAAAGAAGAGGTGGAGGATATATGTTTTTACATATTAAGTAGGCTACTTTGTCCTTTTCGGCTAGATTAGAAGAGATGTCACTGATCAAGAATTTGTGTGTGTTTCTTTTAGCCTGAAATGGTAGTGACAAATAATCTTCTGGATCTGCCACCCCCCTCTCCTCCCAAACCCAAAACCATCGTCTTACCTCCCAACTGGAAGACAGCCCGAGATCCAGAAGGGAAGATTTATTACTACCATGTGATCACAAGGTAAGAAGGGCTGTGTGGGCATCCCAGGTCAGCTTTCAGTTGGTGGAAGAAGCTGCCGTCAGACGAGGAGATTGATGGGTGTGGGCTTGATGTCATTGTCTGTTGTTCATTGCGCTTGAGGGCTGCCACATTTCCAGAATTCCGTCTCAAATGTTATGTCAGATCATAGACTTTAGTCCTTTTTAGAGATATATTTTGGTATATTTTTAATCTGCAAGACTCTTGGAGAAAACTGGAGTTTAAAAAGATAATGACGGGGCACCTGGGTGGCTCAGGCATTAAGCGTCTGCTTTGGGCTCAGGTCATGATCCCAGGGTCCTGGGATTGAGCCCCACATCGGGCTCCCTGCTCAGTGGGAAGCCTGCTTCTCCCTCTCCCACTCCTCCTGCTTGTGTTCCCTCTTTCATCGTGTCTCTCTCTGCCAAAAACAAACAAACAAACAAAAAACTTAAAAAAAAAAAAAAAGATAATGACTTCATCTAATATTGTGTAGGTATGAGGGATCAGAAGCAAACCTTTTCTGTAAGAGCCCAGATATAATGAATATTTTAGGCTTTGCCAGCCAGCCAGTCTGTCACAACTACTCAACTCTCATTGTTGTGCAAACAGCCCATAGGCCATATATAAATGAATGGTCACTTCTGTGTCCAATAAGACTTGATTTACAAAATAGGAGGCCAGATTTGGTCCATGAGCCATAGTTTGATGATCCCTGCTATATGCAAAAAGCCCAATTTATCTTTTACCTAGAAGTTTAAAAAAATACATCTTTTAGACAGATAGCTTTATGTGAATGTATGTGCTCTCTCTCTCTCTCTGTGTGTGTGTGTGTGTGTGTGTGTGTGTGTGTACTCTGGTATATAATTTTATGTGAGTTGTTGGGGTACATGTTTTATAATCTTCTTACCAGTCTGTAGAGGACTTTGTCAGTTACAGATGGAACTACATTTTCAGTGCATGCTTATACTATGTTTCAGGGGTCAGCAAACTATGCCCACAGGCTACTTGTATTTGCAAATAAAGTTTTGGGGGGAATACAGCCACCCCCATTTATTTAGGAGTTATTTATGGCTGCTTTCACACTATAATGGCAGAGTAGAGTAGTTTTGACAGAGACTATATGGCCTGCAAAGTCAGAGATGATTTACTCTCTGATCATTTATATAAAAAAGTTTGCCAACTCCTACTCTCTTGTATGGCTGTACGAAATTTTACTTAACCCACCATCATTGTTGGATTTTCACTGTTTTCACTCCAACCCTGGACATCCTTAAAGACACTAATCTTACTGTGCTGTTGGTTAAAAGAAATCGACATATTAAATTGATAATTACTGTCAACCTTACCATTAAAAAAAATTGTACCACTGTAGACTCCCACAAAAAGTATACAGTATTGTCTTTTTCTTGATGTAGTTTCTTCTACTCTTGTAAATCTAATAGGCGAGAGAGCTTATTTTCATTTCTGATTCTTTTATTGTTGAAATGGACTATCTAAATTATTGGCCACTTGTATCTTTTGCGAATTGCTTGTTTGGGAGCATCTCCCTGTTCTCTGTCATTATTGTTAGGCCTTTTTATCAAGAGTATTGCAGATATCTTTGATTATAATGCCTTATGAGTTTAAAAATTTCATACAGATAGTTTCCTTTATGCTTTATCAAGCTTGTGTGATGTTGCTGACTAAAGATGGAGTGGTAGGAGAGCACAAGAAGACTGCAGTGGCAGGACTGGCCTGTCAGATAGGCTGCTAGTTCTCTGAGGCTTTGGAGGTTTTAAGTGATTTTCCCTATAGCATTCCCTGTGGCAGCTGACTTCAGACTCCCGAACATGAATTGTCTTACTTCCAGTTGTTAACTCACAAATCTAGCTTAAAAAAAAAAAATAAAAAATCTATGCTTGCTTATTTTCAAAGCAACTAATAAACGTGCTGTGAGCTAACAGGGTAGAACCCTTCTTGCAGTCAGTTGAGAATATTTTGAGCCAAGGGTGTAAATTTTGATTTTTTTTTTCAAGATTTTATTTATTTATTTGACAGAGCGAGAGAGGGAATACAAGCAGGGGGAGTGGGAGAGGGAAAGGAGGCTTCCTACTGAACAGGGAGCCCAGCGTGGGGCTCAGTCCCAGGACCCTGGGATCATGCCCTGAGCCTAAGGCAGACGCTTAACGGCTGAGCCACCCAGGCACCCCAGGGCACAAGTTGTTAACCTCAAGTCTTTTCCATGTTATCAGTCATTAAAGCAAAGGGGCACAACCACAGACAAGAAGACTCCTAAAGCAAGGGACAATTTTCTCACATGGCCAAGGATTATGAGAGTGTGTTGTGATTTATTTTATTTTGCTCCAAGCACATGCTAGGTACAGTCACTGTTGATCTCCTCACCTGCATAGGAGAGGCAGAGGCAAGCACTGACTCCATGTACTTTTTAGGTTTTGCTAAATCCTCTTTCCAGAACATTAGAGCCTGGTGAGAAATAGGATGTTTGGTTTTACTGCTCTCTTTGACACCCAGTAAACACTGCCACCTCGTTGGCTAGAGAAATACAGTGGGCTAAATAATGTATGTCTCTGGGATAGAATCGTGCTGCTGGAGAAGTAACAAAAGAATGTCTCTATCTTACGAAGCTGACTTATTCTGCCTCATTATATATGTTGTGTTTGATGTGTATATGAGCAGAGATGCCTGTGCCAGAGTTCTTTGCTTTCTGGCCATGACAGCATGGCTGCTCTTACCTTCTTCTAGGCAGACTCAGTGGGATCCTCCTACTTGGGAAAGCCCAGGAGATGATGCCAGCCTTGAGCATGAAGCTGAGATGGACCTGGGAACCCCAACATATGATGAAAATCCCATGAAGGTGAGTGTGGCTTACACATGTTTTCTGATCATTGGGAGTCTGTGTCCTGTCATTTTGCAGGGCCAGTAGCCATGTGGTCTTGTGATTCTATTTTCCTCATTGTTCTGGAGAATTAACACATGTAATAAATGCTGGAGAGGACTAAGACATCCAAACCGTACAGAAGTATAGTATGTAGAGCAAAAAATAAAAGCCCTCACTTTCTTTTCAGTTGCTCTCCTATCATCTTACTTCCCTCTGTGGAGATAGATACTGTTAAGTAGTGTAGGAATTCTCAACTGAGAGCAGTTTTGCTCACCAGAGGACATTTGATAATAATATTTAGAGACATTTTTGTTTGTTACAACTGTGGGGATGCTACTGGCTTCTAGTGGGTAGAGGCCAGGGAAGTCACGAAATATCCTACAGTGCTTAGGACAGTTCCCCGCGACAAAGAACTGGCCCACAATGTCAGTAGTGCCAAGGTTGTGAAACCTTTCTTTGGCATATGTTCTTCTAGAACTTTCTGGAAAGCACACACAGGTGTCTCTCCCCTTCCTTCCTTCCTTCCATTTTAAACACACAGATACAGTCATGGTATTTGTACTCCATCATAACCTCCTTTAACCTCCCTTAGCTCCTTGGGCACTTGACTGGCTCAGTCAGTGGAGCATGCGATGCTTGATCTTGGGGTTGTGAATTTGAGCCCCACGTTGGGTGTAGAGATTACTTAAAAATAAAATCTTAAAAATACCTATCTATCTTAGCTCTTATAGATATGCTGCATTCTTTTTGATGCTCTGTGTTTCTTTTTAAATGTGTTTTAGCTCATTAACTAAAATCTTACATAGGTGGTGTGGTTCAGTGTCCTGCCATTTTGGGATTGATGGGTCTCGAAAAAGGTTAACTGTTTACATAGAACCTCACCAAAGGAATATGCTACATGCCCCCCCCACCCCCCTTTTTTTTTTTTTTAAAGAGATGAAACAAATATTTTACTATGGAGATACTATTTTTAGAACAAAGAAGGCAAAAAGCTTATTCCTCATCTCTCCCTCTGACAATACAGTAAATACAATTAGAGATCAAGTAAATTAAATACTCAGTGACTGACTTACAACCATTTTTATTCCCGTTTGTAACAGGACTCACTGTCTCCTAGGGTGAGGTGTCCTGAATGAAATCAAAGACCATATTTCTGTGTCCCAAGATGTGAATAGTACCTCCCCCCCACCGCCCCAAACAAGAAGAGTCTCTTAACTAGTTAAGTCATTGGAGAGGTTGGGAGAGGGAACGGGACAGAAAGGAAGGAGCTGGAGTGAGAGAGTAAAATGGAAACAGCATACCTTCTTTCACAATTTATTTAGTTTGGGAGAAATGTTTTTCTTTCTTCGTATATTTGGCATTTGCCCAAAAAAGTATGCACTTAAGTTAAATCCATGTGGAGCTTAATAAATTTCAAAAGAATCATTTGAGTCACTTAACCACATCACTGTAGCTATGGTATTGTCACATTTTCTTGACTCATTTAGGAATATGCACAGGAGTGTTGGGCCGCTGCCATTGAAAGTATCCAGAAGCTTACTAACAAGAAACCACAGTAGCTCCCTCTTTCCAGACTTCTGTAGCTCTGTTAGTTATATCTTTTGAAAAATAAACAGAAGGTTTGAGAAGAGATCTCTGGTGCAGAAATACAGCTGAGCTCTGAGACCAAGTTTATGAAGCATGTCAAGAGACATTACCTTTTGCACCTTGACTGTTAATCATGATTCAGTCTTTTGGTCTGTAGAATATTGTTTGATTGTAGATGTATAATGCAAAAGCTCACTATATATGTATTACTCAAAGTGACTGTATTTATCAGGTTGTATCTGGTAACATACAGAGAAAGTAAGTAACCTGTTCTAGTCAAGGCTGTGGGTTCTTAACTCCTGCCCTAGATTAGTTAAACTAGATAGATACACTGAATTCCCAAAAAATACTCTAAATTCATGTGATATTCACAGTGACAACTGTGGAGAAATATGTGGCTGTATAATTAGGTTTTAGTGGAAAACTAATCTATAAACATATTGGAGCATCAGTTCAAAGTTAGGATTAGAATTAATACTATTCTTAATAGATGGCAGAGTAACAGATGTTCGTTTGGTTGATCAGATTTGAAAGTTGGGAGAGAATAGTCCGCAGGTGGACCATGTAGGGATGCATGTATCCCTTTCATGAATTGTAAATATGAAGCTCTTACTGCATGCTTATGTTGTGAAGCCTGTGTGAAATTTGAAGGGCCAGACCTCAGCCAGGAAATTGGTCAGAGTATGATGGATATAACTTGACTATGATTAAGGAACTTCAGAAGGAAAAAAAATAGCTTTCTGTGGGGTTTAAGCCACCAACTAAAAATTGTAATTTTTGTTTTAATTGTGCAGTGAAATAATGAGATGACCCCCAAGATGAAATTGCACTTTGGAATGACCAAAATGGTGGAATTTCCCCTATCTAATAATGGAAGAGCATTCCTTCGTGATTTTCTAAAATGTCAGCAATAAGGGGTGCCTGGGTGCCTCAGTTGGTTGAGCGTCTGGCTCTTGATTTCATCTGGGTCATGATCTCAGGGTTGTGAGATCAAGCCCTGCATAAGCACTGGGGAGGGAGCCTGCTTAAGATTCTCTCTCTCCCTTTCCCCCCTTTAAATAAATAAACAAATAAAATATCAGTGATGAGAGGGAAGATTTTGTTCTTAACTAATGGTACTCTACCACTCATTAGCTTAAATTTAAATTAATGGTCTAATGTAAGAGACTGCAAAGAATTCTATGTATTTTTAATACTTTTTTTGAAGCCGGGTAATAGGCTTCTGAAAGAATAATCTATTAACTATATACTGTTACTCTGTTTATTATTTTTTGGTTTATTATTATATTTTGGTTTATTATATTTGGTTTATTATTTTTGTTACTTTGTTTAATATGTGAGCATGTATTTTATCCCTCAAAGTGTGCCTCATTTGTTACAGAAGGACAGACCAGGAAAGTTAAGAAATCAGCACACTTGCATTTATAGCAGAGAGGTGTTTGACTGAAGGACTGAAATGTATACTTGTAAGAGTACTAGAGTTTTCTCCAATTCACATAGTGTAGCCTTTCTCTAGCATTTCTTAAAGGCTAGTCTCCTGACATTTGTTTCAATTATATCATTAAATTATTTCAGGAATGTTAAGCAACAGACAAGAAGCCCATTCAGGAGTCTGCAAAAGCAAATATAAGTCCAGCATTTAACTCAAAAATAACTGTTGTTTCGCTGTGCCCCCTGTGTGTCAGGATAAGGTGATGGTGTATGTGTAAAGATGAGAAGGAGTGGGAAATTAGAGAAAACATTCCTCCTAACTCTTAATTGCCTGAGAGGGGTTACAAGTGAGACTTTTTTTTTTTTTTTTTTTTAAAGATTACAACTGGGGCCACGGCAGGCAAAGGAAGAAGCAGACTCTCCACAGAGCAGGGAGTGTGAGACTCAAACCCAGGACCCTGGGATCATGACCTGAACCAAAGGCAGACACTTAACCCACTTAGCCACTGGTGTCCCCAGAGTGAGACCTCTAATAGAGATACAAAGATACCTCTTTTCAGAGAAAATAGGGAGAAACTGATCCATTCTTCTTCTTTGCCTTAGTACAAATACATACATAACCCTCTCTCTGGGAATTCAGATCATAGTGAGAGTGCACAAAGTAATTAGGCTGCCAAATACAGTTCTTATTGTGAACGGATAATGATAGGTTAGAGGTGTTTTCTCTCCCACATAGAATCAGAGTCAGACCAAAACAGGACTTTTATAATATAACTTCAGTTCCTTGAGTGCATTTGCCTGTTCATGAAATAGGTGTACCATTTCTACCTGAGCAGAAGGTAAAAATCAATTTGAGGTTTTACACCTAATGTTAGATTTTATGTAAATGGCACATTTGGTAACCAGCTCGAAACACTCTAGCCATGTAATTCAGAAGAAAGGAAAACAAACTGTCTTTCTATGGCCATTTGCTTTTGTCTAAAATTTTTCTCCCTACTCTTGCATATAAAATATTTTGTTGTTTGCAGCATTTTTTTTTAAGATTTTATTTATTTATTTGACAGAGATCACAAGTAGGCAGTGAGGTAGGTAGAGAGGAGGGGGAAGCAGGCTCCCCACTAAGCAGAGAGTCAGTCATGGGTAATGAAAAGGTATGTTATAAAACCATTCATAAGAGTTTGAGTTGATCTGCTTTGGTGCTTACAAATCCCTCTATCTGTAGCGCCATTCTGAATTTTTAGAGCCCGATGTGGGGCTCCATTCCAGGACCCTGAGATCATGACCCAAGCTGAGGGCAGAGGCTTTAACCCACTGAGCCACCCAGGCTCCCCTGCAGCATCTTTAATATTACACCTTTATATTTGCAAATGCTCTTTCAGTTGTAAATAACAAAAATGCAGCTCAAGCCAGCATAAACATAAAGAGACATACTGGTCTGTATAACTTGGGAGTCGAAGATTATTGCAGTCTTTGATTCTGCTTCTGTCTGTGTGTAAACACAGCAAGTGTCAAATGTGGAAGTTCTTTTAAGGAGAACAGCTCAGTAGTAGTTGGGAGTCCTGTGTAAAGTGCTATGTGCTGTGGCTGAGGGTGAGGGATGACGATGGTGTGCCCTGAGCCCCCACCACTCAGATAGCTCACCTGCTCATGGGGTGATCCCTGCGACTCCTGTGTTAACTGTCCTTGATTTTCAGTTAATGATTCACATACAGAATCAGTAAGATCAATTTCTGGATAGCCAGGAGCTGAGTCACCTTCAGCTCTTATGAAATTAGAGTTTAGTGATCTTTGAGTATGAATAATTTTTTTGGTGTTGTTTTGGTTCATTACCTAGAGGGTAGAAGAGAATACTTGTGAAATCCACTCAGGTGCTGTGGACTGTGGAAGCTGGGAGAAGTCTGACCATCACCTGCCACAGAAGGCTGCCCCTCCATATGGGAAATCTTTGAGTGGGCAGT